GATGCTAGGATGTATCAAAAAGTTTGTTATTACCATAGACTTCCTATAAAGGCTAAGCCTTCTTATGTCCCTAAGACACCACAAGTGTTTACATATTTTACTGGGGGCTAGGCAATGTCACAAAGAGAGAGCTTGGAGCAGCATGTTTCTGCACTGGAGCATTCCACAGGAATGGCTGCAGATTAGACAGAGGCTATTCCATCCTGCTTCCCTATTGTAGGAGACAGAAAGTAATTAGTTGCTGGCCTATACCACCAGCAAATCATTAACCCCTCCTGCCCCTAAACATTAGCCCAGCTGTTCTGGCCATTGAATTGCAAAGGATGGAAATACATCTCTGTCCATCTTCTGCTTCATCTGCTCGAGAGAATCTGCATACATGTGCTGTCCTTGGCTCCCAGATATCCAGTCAGGGAAATCTTGAGAGGACTGGGCAGCATTTGGATTTGCTCAGGCCTGATACCCAATCCAGCATTAAGTGATTGCAAAATCTTCCCAGAGCTAAAGAAAGGGAAAAGCTGCCTGCACACATACTGCCATTCTGGGACAAGTCAGCAGATACAAAGAATGGTGCAAAGCCAGAACATGATCTAAAGCTGAGGTTTCTCACCATTTTGGATTATTTTCATGGGGCATCATTCAGCTAGATCAGGTTTTTTTAAATACTGTTTTGGATTCTATATAATAAAGGCAATGCCTACCGTTTAACCCTGACTATATATAAATCCATTCCAAAAGCCTAACTTGGAGTAGTATTTCATCAGAGTTAAGTATTTCTTTAAATGTTCTTATTACATGTACTTGAAACATATGCTGCAGGAACAATTTTTCTTCACAGATACCAGCCTAGTAGCAAAGTAGGCCAAACACATCCATCTAACTCAGTGGGCCAGACATAAAAATGTAGGCCTTTTACAAACGCTTGTAAGAAATTATGTCTTATCCTTTGAAAGATGGAGTCATTGCACTGGCATTACACAGCCTGTGCATTAGATCAGACAGCAAATGAGATATTGATAGAACTATTTTGAACAGTCAATAAGCTTTCTAATGATTGATGGCTTTGAGCTAACTCTGTAATATCAATGTCTGCACTTGGAAACTAGAGATTGAAACTGTAATGCAATATTGTCTTTGTGGAATTCATAAGCATAAGTCACCTGTGGGCAGTGACTCCAGTTGAGGGATTTGCATGGGGGTCTTTCTTCATAGTGGAAGGAAAAAATGACAGCAAATTTTACTTGTCTTAATCTCTCTATCTAAATCCAACCAAAGCAGTGTCTCAGAAAAGAAGTACAGGGAGAAGAAAGCCATGGGAGAAACCAAGTTAAATCATTGACCAAAAGAACAAAATGAGTAAACAGAACTGCTCCAGGAACACTGTGCTTAAAACACTCTGCAGGTTAGTCACACAGATTTCATTGGAATTCCAAGCAATGTTACTGAACATTCCAAACAAAGAACCAAAATTTGCCCTTAGAATATTTTATGTAGTATAGTCAAAAAGAAAAAGTAGCCACAGAGGGGAAAAAAGGAGCAGAGGAGAAAACATACAGCCAAGAATTTTAAAAGTAATATAGAGAAATTATAAATGCAGACCTAAAGTAGCTAGATTTTCAAAGATCACATGCTTTGTGCTCTCACAGCATAAGCTTTTTTCATCTCACAGAGAATCCAATAAAGAGCCACTATTATAAATACTCCTTGTAAAAAAATTCTTTTTTGCAAAAGAATATAGAAGGAATTTTAATTCCCTAACCTCCATCTATTAATGATTGAAATTAATGACAACATATTTATCTTAATTTAAATTTCTGAGCTCTCAAGCTGACGGTAATGTTCTGAGAAGGCTATAAATCCTGTTTGAATTACAGGTATTCATGTACAGTACTTTCTACTCAGTTATTATCCAAGTTTCCCTTCAATTTCATCCAAAATTGGAGAGGGAAAGAAGGTGAAAGAAGTAGACTGGTAATCTTTCCTCATAATTTATAAACAATTACTTCGCCTGGCAATCTTCCTAAATTTGATGCTACTGTTCATGGGGTATCGGCCCACACTTGCAAGAGGTTTGCAATCCAGATATTAGTGAAGTAAAATGCAAAAGACATTGAGATTCTCTAGAGCAGATAGAAGGTTCTCAAGGATTACTTGACGAAATTAACTGTTTAAACTGCAGTTTAAAACCTGAGCTGTATCAGACAACACTACTCCAATTGCCCCTAAGAGCAGTGATGATTCAGTACTCTCAGGCATATCCCCCTCCTGCCCTCTCTGCACCTGACATGGATGCATCCCTGCTCCTCCCTACACAACACAGAGCATAAAGCACAATGCCTGCATAGTTAGGGATTCTCTTTGGAAAACTGACTGTCAGCAGAGGTAGCTCTTCTTTCACTTACTTGGTATTATGCCAGTGTGAGTCTACAATCATCCATAATGCTGTTGGTTTATGCTGATGTGTGAGAACAGGATCCACACCTAAAACAAATACAATTCAGCACCTGTAGATTTACTGTCATTATGTACTTAACTAATGCAAAATACTTCCTTCACCACTAGTATTCTGCCCCAAGGAGGCAGTATCCTTCTTCTCTACTGCAGGACTTACATCAGGTTCTTACATCCCTCTCACTGTTACCCATGTCTCTCCTCTCTGCCTTTTTATAAACATTATGCCTGGACTATGGTGCTTGAGCAATCATCTCTACTGTAAACTTCATGATATCCAAAAACAAAAAGAGTTTTCATTCTTACTTTATAGTTTGTACCCACATGCAGAAAGCTATTTGACACTTTAGTTCACTAAAACAGTACAGTTGCAAGGTGTTCCAAAAGCAGAGAGGTGAAGGGCAGAGTATATATAGCACTGGGATTACAGGTAGGTACAGCAATTTAAGAGAAGCAGCGAGGACAACATAGGTTTTGAAAAATAATGTACGCTGCACTCACTGTTTATTTTGATTACACTGACTTCTTCATTTAACACAAACTTAATAAATAAGCAGGCACTGAAGTTTATTAAGGAATCACATCCTAGGCGAGGAGATAAAAATAACGTACATTCTTTGAACTTTATTCTAACACCTGAATACCACAAGAGAAACAGGGAGTGTTAGGGATGGATTCTGTGAACAAAGAACAAGATTAGCACAGTGGAAAACAAACAGAAACCTACCCAAATGTATCATTTTTTAGATTGAGAGCTGGAAACAATTTTGGCTAAATCTTTGGTTGCTACAAATAATTTAAGGTGTTCGTACCCTGTGAGTTGTGATGACTAGTAGTATAAAAGCCTGGCTTTTACAACTATTGACAAGAAGTCCTTCTCTACCTAGTACTAGTCTTAAATTTTAACTAAAAGAGATAGTATGGAAATGAATGATTAGGAAAGCGCAGGAAAAGAAATATACAATCTAGGATCACTCAGGCTTATAGTGATCTCCCCCAAAGGATACCAGTGTGCATTTAGAGGGTATGCCACCTAGTGGGAGCAAAAATTTGATCAAAATGTTAAAAAGATAAAAAAAATGTTAAAAATTTAGCCTGGCATACTTCAAGGTGGAGGGAAATTAGAACTGCCATTCAGTACTGAAGCACAGTATTTACAAACCAAGACCTTCAAAGGAAAGGGTTTCTGATTGTCCGTTATCTCCTCCAAAACACGAGTAAAAGTTAGTCAAGACTTATGTATGAAAAGCTACTGTTTGATATTGCTGTGCTCTGTGTCTACATGGGAAACACAGCTGTCTGTAGATAGACTGCATTATCTCAGGTTAGGTCCAATTCTAGCACGGTACCTCGGTACAAAAATACAAGTACTTAACTGTTTTCTCTTTACTTGAACTTTGGGAAGAATTAACCAAGCACAGTAATTTGGCTAAGCTGCAGCCATTATAAAAGGCACGTCCATCCATAAGAGGTGGGTCTTGCTATATGTGAGCATGAACAGAGATGCATATCGTTTTATAGTGATCATTTCAGCTGTATTTGGTATGTTAGATACAGAATGAGAAGAGGGGTTTTCTTCCTCTAAGGTTTGCCAGCATAATGAAGGGAAATAAGTCTGCTTGGCTTCACAATGGATAGGTGAAAGGCAAAGCATTTGTATTCCACAATATAAATATCACAAAACAGATCTATGAAACTCACTAACAAAAGATTCAAGTATGTCAAAGACCAGATGAATTGAAGGATGACAGGCAAGAAACTCAGACAGTTACCAAATAATCAGAGCTACTTCGAGCCTAGCAAGGCTCTTGAAAATGCCAACAAGGCTAAGAGCATATGAAGTATCCTTCTCCTATTCTTAGTCTTACAGACACTCAGCAGTTGAGGAGTAGATGGACCTTTAATGTGACTTAGCTCAAAATTCTTGGTTTATATTAGGGTAAAATAATATCTAGTGTATTTACGCCCTAGTTATTAAGGAGTCATACAAAAATATGAACATTTTGCTTAGTAGAGTTCAAAGGCATAGTGGTCTAAAAAATGGAATAAACATACTAGAATATATTTAAAATTAATGATACAAGGCAATGCACTGTAATCTAATTACCCGACCTTCAAGAAAAAAATAAATTCTGGAAATGGAGGAAGTGCCACTGCATAATCTTAGCTTCAAATCTAATCAGCTTGTATCATTAGCACAGACATGACAAGTAGCATTACACGTGAGGGTGAGCGCAAGAGCCTGGAGCTGCTAGCCCTTGAAGCTTTACAGCATGGCCACATTGAGTGCCACCTGCCCGCCCTCATCTCTCCCCAAGTAAGGCCATCAAGCAGTACCCTCTGCGATGGAACAAGGTGAGCAGTTTTCAGGCCGACCCTATAGCCCCAGGGGCCAGCTCACACACAGTCACAGGCAGCGGAACAGGCCCGGGGAAAACCCCTAAAGTCCTGTCTGTGCCTTCTCAGCTAAAGGAGCCACAAACCTCTGTAGTCCCGTGGCAGAGGGTGTGTAAGGGGGCAGGCACAGCTCCCACGCGGGTGAGAGCGGAGAAAGCCCCCCAGCACTCACCCGCTCTCCTCCTGCCTGCGCACAGCCAAGGCCGGAGGGCGGGCGGGTGTCCGGGCTCGTTTGCTCTCAGCGGCGTCACCTGCAGCTCTCCGCCCGCCGGGACGGACCCTCGCCCTGGGAACGCCCTGACTCGGGCCCGGGCCCGGGCACTGCGGCCCTGGCCAAGCGTCCTTATCCTTTCCACCTGGAGGCTGCGGGGGCGGTGGGAAGCACAGGCCTTACCACCGAGAGGATTGTGAGGCTCGTCAGGCTCTTAGGAGGAGGTAGTGCTGTTTTGTTCTCTTCTGTGCTCTCGTCAGCAATGAACGCTTTGTTTTTCACAGTTCCTTGGGAGTGTTGTGAGCCCCACCGTGTTACTCTGCTTTTTGCCTCTTTTGTTCCTGAAGCAGAAGGATGCTTTTAAGAGAATCTCTGTCCCTTTTAATTCAATCGAGGCTATTGGTGCTGTGGTTTGTCTCACTCTTCTCTAAGAGAAAACTTCAAAATGACTCCTACCTGGGCTTTGAGTGTTGGAGAGAATGGAAAAGTGGAGGGAGAAGCCCTTACGCTACTCGGGAATAACTCTACTTTCCAAAAAGACCTCTTCATACAATCGTATCTGAGATATTTTTGTAGCTGACATCACACATTTCTCTTATGTGTGTTGTTTCAGTTTTTTCCTTGTGCAACTTGAGATATTTTTCATATAAGATTTGAAGTGTTAGAGAGAGTAGATGCATTTTTCTACTAACTCCGATGGGGGTTTTTTACGTGAAGTATCACACAAATATGAAAGCAGTTCACAGTACATTTCAGCCCTAGCAATTCATGGCACTCTCCGAGATTTGGCCACAGTTTTTAGTTCGCCTCTATTCTTCTGTGTCAGGGATAAGAGTCAAGTTAACCAAGGCAAGACACTGTTTTCATTATTTTGGGGAAACTAAAGGAAAGGAAATGGACACGTTTATTCAGGATCTGTGCAGGTAGTAGAAGACATCCTCACCTCTTGCCAGCTCCTTATGGGAAGAAAACAGACTTTAACGAGCAAGCTCAAAGGTAGATAATAACTCTTTGTGTTTAGGTGTGATTGTCAGTAGTACTGAATGTTTGTAAGATTATATGTTAATAATTAAACTGCTGATCCAAGGAGTAAAATATGAATATATAACATTTTAGTCCCTCATGTTCTAAAATATGATGTGTAGAGCCGTTGAAAAAAAAAGGTGCAGGGGAAATAAGAAACACCTGTAACAGCAGAAGGAAGCATCAAGCACATTTGTATTAATGTGCTGAGTTTACCAGAGTGTTATAGAGGAGGCACTGACATTTTCTACAAATACTGTTAGAGGACAGACTTCCAAATCACTGTATATTTTACAAAAAAATATTTCTGAAAAAAAAAAAATTAGGCTTTCTGAGATTGTGCCTAACCAGTAAGCCTGTCTAATGAGAAATTTGGACCAAACATGCTTCTTTCACAAACATGATCCCATCTCATCCTCTAGGCTGGCTCTAGGGTTTGTCTGACCCCACAATGAGCTATTTTTGGGAACTCATGTTGTGTGAGCCTCCAGTGTGAACTGGTTATTGCTCAGTCAGACAAGGGCTGAAAGAAAGAAGGATGGAGGGAAGCAGAACTACCCGTTTGTACAACAGGTTGTTTGGTTGGCATTTTAAAAAATGAAACCTTCATACAACAATAGAAACAATTGTTCCAGAGTCAGAGACTTACCTGGTACAAGCTGGTAAAAAAATCATGGAAACTCTTTTTTTTTTTTTTTTTCCATCTGTGGTTTTGATTCCCATGGTTTGAAACCTACTGTATTTCAATTCTAGCTGATCTACTTCCAAGGTAGTATATGGAAAAGTAAATAGGGAAAATATCACTAGATATAATGTAGTGAAGAATGTGAAGTCAGTTTAGGGCAGCATATCTGTGCAAACAAAACCAGTTATGGGTGTGCATTATTTCTCTGTGGGCTGGGAACTAACCAAAAATTATGCTATCATCTTGCATTTTTTGCTAAGCTAGCCTATAAAACAGTTAAATTTTGGAAGTAAAGCCATAGTACTGTTTGGTAGCTCCTCCTATTCTTTTCCAGCCTCCAATCCAACTTAATGTAACTCAATTTTTTTTTTCTTTTCATGGGTAAGTTGTTTTCAGATCTAAAGATAAACTGAAAAATGTAAAATTGATACAAAATTTCTGTCCGTATTAAATTCTCAAAATGCTATTTCAGACACTTGAAGAATTACCTTTTTCCTATTGAATATCACAGTGGTGTCACAAAGAGGATAATAGGGCCAAGATGAAATTTAAGAGTAAAAAAGCAAGTGAATTTAAAGTAGATAAAGCATGAGAGGTTTGGGGGTGATCTACCTTGGCGATATTAAACAGAACAAAGTATTTCGTAATTCCCAAAAAATTGATTTTATTTTAAGTTTTGTCACACTTTATTGGCTTCATCCTTAAGAAAAAGACTGATTATCCTCTTATGCTTCAGTAGTTATATAAAAAAACAGAGCTGTGGTACCTATTTAGAGTATTTAATGCTGTTAATGGAATTTAATGAGCAAACTTCATCTCTGCTTTACTGTGCCACACATTTTCAAAACTGCATAGAGGGAAATTTGCATCAGTGATGCCAAGAAGGCACTAAATATACTCAGCTCCCCACAAATTCAGTAAAAGCCGTAAGAGCTCCCCAGAGCACCCAACAACTTAGAGGCTTGAGGTCTTAGGCAGTGCTGTGACTTACACCTGGAGAATAATGCAGACACATGCATGCAGAATTGAAGGTCCTTTATATCTTTTGTTTTAAAGCATATTCGTCTTCAGATATGCAGTTCTTCTCTCATGCTGTGCCTTTACCAATCATGGGGAGTGTATAATGATGCTATTCATACAGGCTCACTAACAGCAAGATCAATGACACTTGTCACATGAGTGGTTTCCTGGGCTGGTTCTTAGAGTTCATTTTGATGGTATTACTTGAAAAAACACATTTAGCTTTTGGGTTCCTTGTATTGATTTTTGTTTTCCTAAATGTAATCCTTGTTTCACCCTAATATGTAAGTGTTTCTTTAAAGTGGATCTATAATGAGATGGTTTGGACTGTGTGTCTTACCTCTCTCTGCACACTATTAGTATTGGACTCCCAAGGGCAGTTTGTGCAGTGAACTGCGATAATGAGGTTGATGGTTCATAAAAGGGCTGATGTGACAAATTACCGACCTGTTTTGGAGATTAAGTAACCGTACCTTTGCCAAGGTCTGCGTATCAGCTTTTTATTCAGCATGATTCTTGCAGTTGTAAGTATGGTGGTTGCCCTGTTGAGTGTTCCATGCGCCAAGTTGATCAAGAAAACATTTGCAAAACATAACTACTGATGTGATTAGTTGTGCCCCTCCCAAGACAAAACACATTATTCTGTGATCCAGAACGTCCAGAGGGTTAAATTTTGTGCAACTTCTTGCAAGGTCTTTAGTTTTTCAGTACCCTACATCCACTGTGTTAGTTGGAAGAGTATTGGAAGGCTCACATTATAAAATTCACTTGCCCATAATACAGATGTCACCCTTTTGCACTGTTAAAATATCTGTGATATTTGGTTAAGGTGCAGTAGTATCAGTTGGTTCTCTACTTATAATCAGGTCTTCTCAGAAACATTCTTTATCGTGAAACACCATAGTTTCTCTCAGTAAGTGGGATGTATATTCTTTTCTCTGATCTTGCATTTGGTGGTAATAAAACATACCTCTTGATTCTATTGAATATCTCAAGCATTACAGATCATTAGTAAAAATTGTCATCTGTAGGACACCTTTATAGATGGTTTTTAATATTGTTCATTAACTGGTTTGTGAAGGTAACCAATAGAAACAATATCCACTGTGTATTTTATTTTATTGCTACTTCTGCTGGAAATTTTTAAACCTTCTCATTTATGCCTGTCAGACTTTGAATGGGTGCATTTTTATGGGTGAAGAATTGCTCTGGCATATACAATGTGTATTTACATGTGTTCCATGATAATATATGGTTCTCGGCAGGAAACACAAAAGCTGTTGTCGTACTCTTAGAAGTGTTAGATGATGCTTAATTTGTCATTTTGTTTTTGGAACATTCAGCAGATTGAGCTTCATTGTCCTACTCATGTGGCCAACAGAGAGTTTGCATTGATACTGTTTCCTCATTAACACTGACACTGTTGGTTGTGATAGCTTTCATCTTTCCCCATAGCTGTTGCTTTGGGTTTCTTGCTACAAAGACTCTCAAGCATTGAAATAAGCACAACTTGCTGTTGTCCCCTCACTGCAGTGGGATTGTCATTTCTGTCCCTCATGCTGTCTCACATGCATGCATTTCCCGAGTTAAAAATGAATTCTGTAAAGTATCTTGCATAATTTTCTGTTCCTCTGTGATGTGTATAATAACGTGTACCATTATTTTGGAAAGGCTGAAGTTATGATCAGAAGTTGAATCCTTGCTGCATGCCTGTCTCATGTTTTATCAACACAGTTGGCAGGTGATGGTCATACTCCCTTCTGCAATGATATACATCACTCTCTAAAAAAGAGAATGGCTTTTGCACAGCTTATCTCTGACCAAGTGCCGTGAAATAATTGAGGCTTTCTGCACAAATAACAGTGCTGTGTAGTACAAGAATATCAGCACCACTGTGAAAGTATGACTGCAAAGTGCTCATCAGATGTTGTGGCAATGACAGAATTTGTACTGAAAATGTTATTTACAAAGAAGCGCTTTTATTTCCTCAGTACTTTTCACCTTCTCTGTATGTTTTAACCTTATCACTACTTAATGTGGATTTAAAAAAAAGAAAAATTAAATGGAATAGGAGTGGGTTTGGAAGTACAGTACTCTACATTTAGTACTTGGTAGGCCTTTGTGATGATAAGAGTAGGCTTACTTAAAATGGATGTCAAGGTACATTTCCAAAAGGTGAGCTTCAGCATTTTCTGCATTTTATGTATGAATGAATGATTTGTTGTGACCAGAAAAAGAAGTCTTTTGCTAAGAAGGATCCTTCTTGAATGCCAATTTTGAGAAGCTGGCTTCTGGCTTACCAGTCACTTCCAATTTTGATAGCCATCCTCGAAGTTTCGACACTGTTCTTCTTTATTTTTATTTATATCGGCTCACAACTGGCGCTCAGAACAAAACTCTTCAAAGCACATTTTTCCTCCAGATGTGAGAAAAGCTTATGAACATAAATCTATCTGTTTATTATTATTTGTTTTTAATAACCAAGTTATCAATATT